TATCTTTTCTATCGTTGTTTGTTGTTATTGTTGTTGATGTTTTAAACTAGTTTATAACATTGTTATGATCTTTCTTGACGCCACATATCCTTAAGATAAAAATCCTGATCGACTCAAAGATAAATACGACTGGCGCGCAAAAATCGCCATGAGATCAAGATACACGGAAAAAGCGCGAATCTATTTTTAGCAGTTCGTAACGCGGCGCCCGTAGTTTTGAATAATTTAACAACATTGTAAATATCGTAAATACGAGAAGAATCTATAAACAGAAATTTATCAGTGACTTTCAGTTTTTAGTACAGTATTCCATTCATATAACTCACCTTAAAGATTCAATTTTTCCTCAAAATCATACCAAGGAAAGGTATTCAAACGTTTTGGCAGTTCTTTAAAAAAAAGACTGTGAAAAAGCCAGTAAGCTTTTCCTAAAGATTAAACCTGCAAAAAATCAAAAATATTATAAGTTAGGTATTTCTCTACAAAATGCTGCGAAAAGAAACGTTAATAGGTATAGACAATTATAGCGTACGTTGACAATAATGATGTTAATGTACGAGTACAAGTGTTGCTCTTTGATCACTATTTGAGTTAGTTTGTACATCTTTGTTAAATGACGAAGAATGGTACTTAGGCAAGCCACGTATAGAAGAACCATTTGAATTTACTAACTTCCCTAGATACTAATAACTCATTACATTAAAAACCCCAAAACCAATCAAAATATAAGCCAATATGACACCAAAAGTGTCTGTCAAACTCTTAGGTTAGAACGAGAAAAGACACGAAAAAAATAAACTAGCGTGAATGACATCCCGCACTAAAATCCTAAAAACTCAGAAACCGCGGAACGTTAAAGGCAAGCAAACCACAAGCTGTGGGGTAAACAGTTTCTTCAACTCATTATGAGAACACGAATATTTGATACTGTTAATTTGAAAAGCCATTTTCAGACAATTTCCGATTTAATATCTTTGCACTTTGGGCATCATGCAGAATGAATGTCAAAAAAGAATTTTGAATCATCGATAATGTCGCTTTTTTCTTTGTTCAGTATTAATTTTCCAGTGGACAATAAAATGAACTCTTTATAACTCAATATGTACGAGATACAACGCGATTCAAAAAGGATTTCAAATTTTAATTATTTTCCAATGTCCTGCAAAGGTGCACATAGATTACAAAACCTCGTTCACCTGAGGAAGTCCAAAAATAATCATTTTTCATGACTTTTTTCACTTTTCTTGTAAAACACCGACTTGACCATTAGTGAGATCCATTATAGATGAAATGGTAGCCTTCGGGAAGAAGTCAATAGGAAGAAAAAAGGATCCACGAAGAATTGATTGAATTTTGCAATATCCTCAGAAGGTCGGTGAGAGAGACAGATTTTACTGATCTCGATATGTAAATAGGAATATTTCGTTGACAGAACTAGTGAATGACCGGAAAAGAGATTATTACAAACCACGCTTTGTGCCCATCTATGATTAAATAACAGTCAAAACTTCAAATTTTTGTTTCATTAGATAAAACAGCTTTTCGTAAATAAATAGCGAAGGAAAAAAATCTTGAAGCTAAGTGAGAATATTTCACTGGAACAACTTGATTCAAGATTAAAAGTTTTTCAGTCGAGCGCTTTATGATAAGTCAGTTGCTTAATAACGTGACAACCAGTTATTTTTTTCACGCCTTGTGTACAGTCTAACTAAACCGAGAACAAGTGATAAAATAGCTAACAGCTTCGTAAATTTTTCATTTAAACGATTAATGATCGATTGGATCTAAAAAAAATCAACGCCAATTTCTTTCAAGAAATTTCAGCTCGAAAGACGTGAGCTCGACATATAAAGACTTAAGGCCGAATATCTTGAAAATCAATCTTCAAATCTTTGGACAATTTGACCAAAAAGTCCTCAGAAAGAAAAGCATTGACGTACAGTACCTCAAATTCGCAGATAAAAAGAGTTTTGTTAGGATACAAGCAATCTTGAAGTCGAGTTTCAGCCAGGCATCACATTGTAGTGTGTTCCGTGTTTAGCAACGATCCATTCACTAGGCTATCTGGTCCACAGTTCGTACTTCCCGTTTAAAGAAAACAAATGAAAAATCCTCAAATGACAGCTTCGGGATGGAGCAGATAAAATCTCGAAAGAGTGCCGCTGTATATTACCACATAACGATGACCATTCAAAGTCATTCTCAGATTTAACAGACCCTTTGACATATATTATGGTTACTATAGCAGCCGGTAGTATGGTGTCTTAATTTTTAAGGTGCTTGTTAGCGCCGGATTATTGACCAGTAAAATACTAAATTCCTTTTAGCTTGTAGCGATGTATCCATGTTATAAAACCTTTTACACAAAGCTTTGGCTTCTCTTTATTTCTTCATTTTATTATCATTTTATTTCACTGTTTTTCTCATGACAATTTACACCATAGTTTACCCGCGTAATAACACTAGGCAATTAAGATAGCCTGCGATGCAGGCAAATGACAAATTTGAGGAATTTTTATTTATCTCGACGGAAATGCCTCCAAATAATAGTCTGAAGTAGATGAAAATAAGAAGAAAAGAAAAAAAGAAGGAAAAATGCACAAAAAGGACTTTCCAAATCATCACTTTTAGAGCTAAATTTCCAACTCGCCGTCTAGTCATTTCCCTCGAATAAGTTAAGTAGAAACGCGAAACTGAACTAGGACTACCACAGTGGTATTCTGCTATCGTTTTCCTAAAAAAATCTCCATTAGCTACCATAAAAATTCCCTAAATCTTCAAATTCGTCCGGTAAACTGAACTTCGTGTTATTTTTTTTTTCCGTGTTAATATTCGTGGATAGCACAGCTGAGCCGAGACATTTTTTTTTTTCACAACGGGATGGGTTCGATAGGTGAATATTGATGAGTATTGTCAACCAATACAAAGATGCTATAGAGACTCCAAAGTACGAACCATCCGTTATGACTCTTAGCTAATTGATGTAAATTAATTACAACAACGGTAAACAAACTATCAGTACATCACGAAAACACAACGAGGAACGATTCCTTGACACGGTGTCCGCGTCCAAGGCGAGTTAGCACAAGCTTTACCCTGAGCGCGGAGTCTCCTTTTCACTCCTCTACGGGCGAGAAAAGGAAATGAGAGGAGTTAGAAGGCTCGCAGGGTACACAAGCTTGTTTTCCCCTGAATAAACTTCGAGGATTTTCTCTGGCTTCTCCGTTTCACTATCGTTCTTCGGTGACTGATCAAAAATATTTTCGTGAGCTCCAGTTGAATTTAGTGGATGAAGAACACTGAACCAATCAATGGAAATGCCACTGCTCAGTCCCATTTATTCATTTAGCTATTTATTTATGGTGTCTTTACGCGTTCGTCCATTTTTTATTCAGTTGTTTATTTAGTGATAAGCTGGTGAAAAAACAATTGATAGATTTACAGATTCCTATATTCTTATTCCCTAATGCTTTCCCCTCTTAGTTAACTAGTTTATTCTTCATCTTAGTTTCATTGCGTTTTTATCAGTTTTCTCGCAGCGGGAGAACCTGGTACTAAAGTCATTGAAAACTTTTTCTCGTGAGTAATTCTCCTACTTATTTCGCTCCCCAAACACCATTAAAAAATATCTTTAAAAAGCTTCAATTTTCATTACCCAACAGCATTAGCTCTAACCACAAATAAACCCGATATTAAGAGCCCAACTGGTCGACTGACCAAAGCGCATTACACGACTAATCTCTTACAAATGACTACGTTTCCAAGTAAACAGTTGGTCGGCCGTTAAGTGGTTTTGGGCGTGGATTTATGTCATTGTATTCTTATCCGTGGATTATCCTAACTTCTGGTCCATTTATGCAACTGTGAATGGTAGAGTTTGGCTTTATATTTGATATTATATCGATATTTTGGCGTGATTCCTCGAGGATGAAATGATAATCGAAGCGGCGGCCATGTTGAATCACGTGACAAAGAAAAATATTTACATCCACACATTTGCGGCGTTGACGACAGTTTGAATGACGTCATCAAAATTAAAAAGATTTTTTATGACGTAAGAAAAGGCCTAAGGCCTAAGAAAAGGCCTGAATTTTCTTGAAGGAGAAGAGAAATGACTGAGAAAACAGAATTAGTTTCCAATATCAAAATCTTTTTTAACTGGCTGACGATATCCCCCAAGAGATAGCAGCACAAGTCCAAGTCTCAACTTGAATTGAATATAACTAAACTATTATTGATATCACAGCAAACTAGTTCACCATGCTCGTAATAATAATATCGATTATCAAATACAATATACTGAATATCGTACGAAAAGATCACATCGCCGCATTTAGAAGATTGACCCTCTCTACAAACTGAGGTGCTAAAATTCTTCCACGTTGAAAAGTGGGAAAGAAAGAAAGATAAAATAGAAGGGCGTCGAAGGGCGGCACTGATTTCTCTTCGTACCAACTGATCCAAGTTGATTCTAATATTTGAATTATATATATAAAGGCTTTAGTAGTGGTGGTAATTCCACAAAATTCTGGACACTTCTCTACTGATTCCAACCAAAATCTTCAGAGAGGTAGAGGGGGGAGGGAGGAGAAATAGAGAACCAGGTGTAAACACCTTGAGAAGAGAATAAACAACAACTCTACAGAAGTACAGAAGTCAGTAATTGAATATATGTCTTGTAAACGTTGAACATTCTTTTAAAATTTTTTACAGCTAGTCATACCATACAGCGACCTTTCAGGCTGTCTTTCATGCGAACATTTAGAAACCGTCTCTCGAAGACATAGACAATTTTGCCGTGAATTTACTTAATTTTTCCCTTTTTGAGGCTGGCGCACTGGTCATAACTTAAGTATTATTTTTTTCTTCGAATGCTTGTAGATTTATAATCATTTTTTTTCAAACTAAAAAAGACTTCATTGTTTAAGTGAATCCTATAGACCCCTTGCATGTAACGTCAAAGCAGCTTAATTCGGAGGGAAAAGAAAAGAATTTCAATCTCCTGATAATGGGAAACCTATTTTTCGCCGTCCAAATTGAGCTGCATTCCGAAGTGCCGCAAGGGGTCTACGCACAAGTTGTTTTCATCGGGTTCTCTAGTTTTCCTTCCTCAGCTGAACCTACGGACGCTATTAAGATTTCGATTGGACTTTGGGTGTTAACTGAGCCTTGACTTTGCACTTTTGATCAGTGATAAAGCGGGTTGTTTCAGGGCATTGATAAGATTTAAAAAATTAAAATCATAAGGTTTTTAGGGAAAACTATTCATCTCAAGACAAAGGAAACTTTATTAGAGGCGGCGTGGAAAAAAACAAGTTCACTTATGACTTTTGTTTTGACAATGGCTTTTTTAATAATATTTTTCTTATGAAGAAAAATGATACTTGTCAATGTTATTTAGTCAATAGCCTCACTATATCCTAAGACTTTTTTTATGTTCGATGAAGACGCGCGAATTTTGTAGCTAAGTGAGTGAGTCTGTGAATATCAAAGCTGACATTGCAGGAAAAAAGAATTTCCATCCTTCGGTCCTGATTTAAACTCTGTCGTTCGAATCCTAAGACGTTTAATAACTTTATTATTCTTATTCTTATTTCTTGATTTTTGAAATTATTATTCCATGCTTTGTTATCTTTTCTAATTTGGAAAACTTCAAAGAAGCAAACTACTTTTGACATTCCAATATCAATTCGTTTTATCTTTTTTTTTTTTTTTTTTACAAGATTGAATTTTGTTTCGAATAAAAACTATACACTTTATAAAGAAAATAAACCCTTATCTGTCGCTTGTAGAGTAAATCTTTCTAATTCTCTCTTTGATTTTATCCCAAAGTCAGCGTTTTTCATATCTTTAATAACAATTTTTCATTTGGAGAAGTTAGAGTTGATTTCCCGCGCTCAGGAAATGGAATGAGTCTGTTTGTTCACTGCTCATCATCCGACGACAAGAAAATCTAAGTAAACACATCAGTGATTTCAAAGAGGAAGGATATTGAAGGCAAAGTGATGAAAATACCGATAGTTATTAGCAAATGGACAAAACAATAAGGAAAATAAAAAGATTAATTTCACGAATAATCGGTAAAAATCTAAAGGTAATGAAAAGCTTTGCAGTGGCTTTTTCCCCTGGGAGGTGCTTCTAAAACTCCGGAAAATAAAGCCTTTTGGTTTTGTGTAGAGAGCAAGTTTATAGATTAAATACAAGTTATGGCTGCAATATCCGGCTTTGATTCCTGCGATTTTGTTGTTCGCAGCAGAGTYGTAAGCCGGCGGAGAGCCAGAAGAAACGTACTAGAACCCAGAGAAAATCCTTTTAACGGAGTGTCGTTGTGTGCACGACGTGCGCCGGGTTCCAAATGAGACAAACTCGTTTTTCATCTTAATACATTAATGTACTGAAGGGGCAAAGTTCTCTTTCAAAATAAAAACAAAATTAAAATATATGCTGATAATCGGTTAATGAAATAGCTTCTCCTACATGATAGTACAGTAAGCCCTAGCACTGAAATGGTTTCCCTTTACAAACCCATATGATGTATTATAGCACTAAAATGGCTTCCCTTATACTCGGTATAGTATATATCGTAGCAACAAAATGCCTTCTCTCCCCTACCAATAAAATGCCTTTCCTTATGCACAGTAAAGTATACATACCATAGCATTGAAATGGCTTTCGTTATACGCGGTATAGCAGGCCCTAGCACTGAAATAGCTTCCCTTATATGATAGGTATAGTGTGCCCTAGCACTGAAATGGCTTCCCTTCGTTTTAGCGCAAATAAGTGATCTAGACTAGAAGCGTAGTGGCGGCAAAATACAGCACGACTTAACTCTGAAATTCCACTAAAAAATTGTCGGCTTTGCCGCTCACTTAAAATGCGTTATTGTAAAAGTTTTATACACTCTATAATGTCTAACATTTATCAAATTATTTTCAAACGTATATTGCTTGCTTTGATATGTCGTCGACTTTTAGTGTATGAGGATGAATAATTAGCGGGGGTAAACATAAAAAATTGGCGAAAACCTGTATATTGATTTCATTAAATTTTATTTTTCAAGGTGTACAAACAAATTAAAAAATTTCAAGTTGTTCCAAGTGGTCAAAATACATCGAAAGAACCCGCTTTTTGAAAATTTCAGGTCTGTAGATTGAACGTCGGTGCTCAAAGGATTCTCTGTTTCGGCTCTACTGAGGAAAACAGAGGATCCGTTGAGCAAATGTTTTTACAAACCCTTCTCCGCCATTTTATTTCAAGTAAATATTTTTTCAGTTAAACCTTTAAATTGAATCGATACCCTAAAGGGTTTCAAAGTCAGAGCACAGCACAGATATGACTCACAGATTGATTTGAAATTTAGCTAGTTAGGTTTTGCGCAGAGAGGAAAACTGGAGAACCCGGAGAAAATTCTCGAATCGAGGGAGGGCCCTAACAAAGCTTACTCACAAGTGATGCTGAATCCAGAAACCGAACCCGAAACCCCAGAGGTGAAAGGCCGAGTGTACTACCGCAGTACCTCTACTCCACCCTTGATCCCTTGATCCCCAAATACATTTATAACGTTTACTACCTCGTACACATCTGCTGTCTTCTAAATTTTCTAATTACACCACTCCTCACCCCACCTCTCTTGGTCTAATTTCTTCCTGTACCCACTCCCCCCCCCCATCATTTGAAGAGGAGTGCTAGGTACTAACAGCGGCTAGACCGTAAACTAAAGTGAGACAAATATCTGCATTCTCTGGCGCTCCACTAAATAAACCGTCATTTAAGAATAATCATTCTTAAAATGTAGTCACAATAATCCATTAATCTATTAGTAGTTTCATCAATAAAAAGACTTTTTAATGTCTCTCTATAAACCGCAGTCTCAGGCACAGTTTTAATCCAGTATTGATCCGCATAGTGACAAGATGCAAGTCGCGGGGAAAATTTGTGATCAATTGAAGTAAAAAGCGAAGACTTCCTGTTTAAGATGAAGAGAGTGCCCCGCTCGAGCTCATAAGACCTCGACGAGTCGATTAGAATCTCCTCGCAAAGGTAATTAATTCAAAGCCATACTTTAGTATGACGTCATTAAACAAGTTACCTCAAAAGCTGAGCCGTTTTGGGCCTCATAAACTTATGAGCTTATAGTTCGCTATCTAACGCGTAAAAATATCCTTGCCGATATTAATACACTAGTGACATTAGTTCTGACATATAACTGGTCCTGGAAAATTCGACTTCGAAGCTACAGCAACATCTGCCGGAAAATAAGAATGTTTAGTTTCTTATGGTGACCACTCATCAAAATTTAAGATGAATGATTGCCAGCAAAATTGATTACACTACATTGAAGGTTTTCATAGAAATCATTTATTATGAACTGTTTAACAAATGATCATTGAGTAGACTGAAGCCTCTGGGTGCTTAATTTTGAGAAGGAAATCATTCGATTGGTTCAGTGTGAGGTCAGAGTGTTGCCGGCTTCCGTGAGAGCTACTATTAAATCGCTTAATATTTTTGCTGTTTACGTGTGTATTTCTTTATGTGTAATTCCCCCGATGCTGGCGTGAAATGAATTGAACACTGTCGAGATAACCAAGAACGTCTTAAACTACAATATCAGACAAAAGCTATTCCCAAAATACCTAAAATATCTACAAAGTAAACAAAAAAGTTCTTTGTATAAAAATATATTGCGCCAAGATTGGTGTATAGTAAATCTATAAAATGGCATCGAAATATTTGACTCATTGATTCCAATATATGTACTCGAGAAAAACTCGTTGATAAAGCTACAAGAAAACTCTTTATTTATTCTTAAAGGGTTTGTACCTTTTACTTATAAAACACTAGAATTAAAATCAAAGGTTTGGAGCGGAAAAGAATGGAAAGATATAAGAAGTTGCAGCGACAATTAATCCAATCGTGTTTGATATCAGTTCAAAAGTTTTTGTGTGCGTATTATTGCTACAAAATCAAGACCAAGTCAATTTGGTAAATATTTTTTTTGACATCTTTTTGTTCCAGCTTTAATGATATCCCAAATCGTTTCCCCTGCGAAAAAGTCATGTAAACAAAACTGCTAAAGACAATCATAATTAATATTAACTAGAGAAAAAACTAGAGGAAAAACGGCGACTTTTGGGGAGGTAATTTGGGGAAATATTTACAAGAAATGGCAAGTAAAGCAAATTTTTTCCGCCTGTAAAGTAAATATCAATTTTTGCTTACAAAAATGAATAGAATGTAGAGGTGAATTATTTCGAAGAACTAGTTTTAAGATTATTATATTTATATACACTTACCTTTATGTTTGAAGTAGCTTGAACGAAAAAGCGGTGTGGTTAGAGATGCTGATCCGAGCAGAAGATCGCTAAATAGCGAACAAACTTTTGTGTCTTGGTTCTATTTAAGACAGTACTACTGAGCGACCTGAAATGTACAAACAACCAATCARATCGTGAATTGGAATAAATCATGTGACGGTTGTCATGTCAACGGAGGCAGCTAGCGACGGAAATGGTGACAGACGCGGGAAATTGTGGAAATGAGAACAGTACGGTGTAAATACCCTGAAAAGAGGTGATTTAGTTACTGATAATGATGAGCAAACGAAAGCTCATAAAGTAACGATAGGCTCCACAGAATAGGACTTTACTGAGTACAATAGATAGAGACATGGATACTCTTTCATTAAAGCCCACTCTAGTGCGGATTAAATTCAAAACTTTCTTGTTCAAAGCTAATCCGTACTAGAAAGCGTTTTTATACGAACAGTATAAAACAATTGCCTCAAGGGAAATTACTTTTCTAGGTTCGTTTTAGTATTGATAAGATAAATCATTGATAATAAACACGGAAAAACATACTTCTCGCAACCGTGCCAGCTCTAATTTGAGCAAAATTAAAAAAGACAGCGTTTCCAAGGTCACAAACTTCATTAAACTTCTAAATCGGCTCCTTCGTTTATTTGCCGGTTTTCTATCATTATATTTCGGCCGACAACAAAGTCTAAAAAAGTATTATCTTTGCTTTGAATAGGCTTAAAAACTCGCTAAATAAACAAGAGGGTTGAGAATATTTGAACAGGAGATTTTTGTTTCATAAGGTTGGTATAAGAAGCGTTTTTTAAGAGACTTCGAGCTGTCAGCTCGCTATGAGAATGGCGACACCTTTAGCAAACGGTCGGAAATTTGTGCCATCCTTTTGGGGCTGATATTGACGTGTTTTGGGATTTTCTCGGACGTGACTGAAGATTAACATCTAAGAGTCTATTAGGACTCAAGGCAAATCATTTTGCTGCTCCTAAATGTCTGAATTGAGAAGGAAACAAGGAAACCATGAATTCAAAACAATTTTGCTTGTGGTCGTGTAAGTGATGGATGAGTTACTTTATTTAGTGAAATTTCTTAGGATTCCAAACAAGATACGACGTAAGTCATGAGTAGAAATATGAATTAGTAAGAGACGCAGTTTAAAAAATAAGCGAATAAAGATAACGAAGTTAATCACTCGAAACACCAATGAAAAGACAATCTATCCTAGGTAATGCTCGCCAAAACAGAGCGAGCCAGTATTTTATAACATGATCTCAAATTAGCCTAGTTCATAACGATATGTTATAGATAGGAGAAAAATATAGTTTTAATACTTATATAAAATCCTATAAAAAATTAGCTCAAATTAAAGCTAAATTAATACAAATATAATTTTCTTGTTATTAATACTAAGGTCTATTTCACAATTAGAATGTGGGTATGATATAGGRTTAAGAGAATGGTTAAGATAAGTGCCCTAGTAGTGCCTAGTAGTAGTGTTCACGCAGGTACCAAGAGCAGAGAAGGTGCCATAATGTCCCTAGACATCTTGATATTATCTGCATACGTGCATGTTTTCCCTTCTATTAGGAGGATTATTGCAGAATATAACTATCTTATCATTGACTCTTTGTGTTAGAAATGGTAACAGAAAACTAGAGCTTTTTGGCTAATATGCTTTTGGATCCTTTTGCGTGAGTGCCTAGGAAAAAATGGTTCTTTCCGAAGATTTTTAAAAAATACCTCTACTTTCTTCTTTGCTCGGACAGAAATGCAGATTTATAAATTAGCGAATAAATAATCATATCAAGAAGGAAAT